GTGTAGGGGTTTAGGGTGTAGGGTTGGGCGTTAGCGGGCTTTTCAAGCAATCTGTAGGGGGGTGTGCAAAGGTGTTGGGATTAGGGTTTTGGGGGTATCGGATTCAGGCTTTAGGGCTCAGGGTAGAGATTATAAAGTTGTATAGGATTCAGGGCTTGGCTGTCGGGCGTACGATCCAGGGTTTAGGTGTCAGGACTATGGGGTTGAGGGTATAGGGTTTAGGGTTTAGGGTTTAGGGTTTAGGAAGTTTAGGGTTTAGGGTTTAGGGTTTAGGGTTTAGGGTTTAGGGTTTAGGGTTTAGGGATTCGAGGTAAGAGTATCGCGACTCAGGTTCAGGGCTCTGACGCCGGTGGCCAAGCCCCGAACCCATACTCAAAAGGCCTTCCCAAGCGAATAATTTAGGAGCCTAAATAATTACCGATAATATTTTGGGGGTTCCTTATTATAAGTATAACAATACAATGGGCCCCAAAACCTTATTCTAATTGTTAAGGCCCCTAAACCCTAAACCCTTATCGTAGCCCTTATAGAAGCCTTTAAGGAACCCTTTAAAGGAACCTTTTAAGGCCCCTACATTACGCCGGACTCCTCATACTTTGCACCCCCCGCGTCTTAGCCAAGATCTCGCCGCCTTTCCGCCGCTTCAGCTGATGCAGTTCAGAGCTCGTCGGAACTTCATGGGATCAAGGTTTTGGGGTTTAGGGTTTAGGGTTTAGGTTTTGGGGTTTAGGGTTTAGGGTTTAGGGTTTAGGATCAAGGTTTTGGGGAGTTTCAAGGGTTCAGGGTTTAGGGTTTCAGTGCGAAGAGTTCTAGGCGACAGGGTTCAGAGTGTTAGGGTGCTTGTAGGGTTTCAAGCCATGTCGGTTCAAGGAGCAACATAGTGGGCCTCAGTAAATTGAGAACATTCTCCCTGCGCTTTCCCTATATACTTTAGTAATCTCTGCTGCGAAGCCTAAATTACTTGGGTGGAGGCCAAACTGTCGGCGTCAATGCTGTCCGGAGGGCGAAGTTTTGCGGAGCACTATAGACGAAAGAGGTATTGAGTAATGGGCAATCATGGTCTCTTATAGTCCATACAAAAGTACAACATCGTGCACCCGAAAACCTTGTTCCAATCAAAGCCATTATCATTATCATTCGGTTATCATAACGCTAGCTCTTAGGATCAGTAGTGTTATTGTTAATGATGGCTTATTGCTAGTGTTGTTGTTGTTCTTATGATTTCTATCATGATTATGATTGTGAGGCTGCTTCTTGTTATTGCTACTGTCTACTATCGATTATATACTGTTTCAGTTTATCATATGGTATTACACACTTTAGTATACTATTTTATTATTGTTATTTATTTATATTACTTTTATACATGATTATTCTTATATGTTATATATTCTTAGTATTAGTATGACTAGGGTTGTTATTATTCCTATTCTTATTAATTATGAGTATATATGTATACATACATTGCATATATAAATACTTCTTGTTATGTGTTGTTATACATGAGTATGAGGTATAAAATACTATACACGACTGCATATTACTGCATACTATTATACATATTCGTAGCGCTTATATATAGTATCATGCTATTATATTCTATTTCATGTTTTGTTTTTTTTTTTTATTTTAGTCCATATGACTATATGAGTATGCCTTGTGCTATATAGACATACATACATATATATATATATATATATATGCTAATGTGTATTATTAAACTTGTTCTTCTGCTAGCAAAAAAGTTCACGATGATGCCGACTATCATGACTTGTACCTAATGTCTTAGTGCATACTAATGTCATTGCTGTTGTTCTTCTTCTTATCATTA